CAAAATAATGACAACAAAAATGCAAAACCAATCGAACAAAAAGAATTAAATCAAGAAAAATATGTGGATATATTGAAGTTGATTATCTTTTTTATACTGGTTATACCATAAAACAGAGTAAAGATATAGATACTTGTTTTGATCACAACTCCCCAGCAGACGGTCGTGGACGGACAAATTTACCACCATTTAAAAGCTCTTTTAATGTAGTTTTAGATGCATTTGATTTCATCTGCAACTTCCTGCACCTAAGAAAGATACGCAAGGCCAAAATATGAGGAAAATAGAAGAAAATTTATCAATAACTCATCCTATTAAAATGATGCAGGTATAGTATGTTCTAGAACGATGTGTATTTTAGTATACCAATCAACTTTGTTGAACATAATGAGGACCTAAAATTAAAGAATATATGTGTTTTGATGAAAAACGTGTTTTTGGGGGTCCGTCCTCAAACAACGCTCTCTATCTCGATTTGAGTGAAATTTAGGACTTTTATGTCTTCGGCAAAGTTGTTTGTAATCATTTTTGCTACAACTTTGCTAAAAACGTCAACCATTTATCTCGACATTGTGAAAAAATAAATTTTTCATTTCACTTTTAGGGGGATTAATCACAAAACCCATGCCTTTAAAATATGAAGCATGTCATATTCATCAACTTTGTTGACGACGTCCTTACTCTAAATCCACTCTCCATGGTGCTATTAATTAAGAGCGTCAAAATGGACTTTTCAACCACTGTGCAATGGTGCAAATTTTCCACCATACATTTTCAATGTAGCATGCATTCATCAGAACGATGCAAACTATGCACCAGAAAAATGATTAAACGTTGCTTCTATATTCGAACTTTCCACCAAAAATTTTCAGGTAAATGTGCACCTCCAAATTTATAGCGTGATTCATTTTTTCCACCAGATTTATTCATTTTAATTAGTACCTCCATGCACCACCTTGATGATATTTTCGCACCAGAAATATTCAATACAAAAGCTTTTTCTTCGATGTACCACCACGACGGTGAATGTTATCAACCTTAAATTTGCCCTCTTCTTTTAACCCTCCATGAACCACCTTAAAAAAAAAAAAAAAAAAAATGGCAGCAGAATGGTGAATAGTAGTGGGTGCAATTTTTTGACCAAAAAATTTCATTGAAGTTTTCCCTTCATGCACTTTTCTGGTGCTATTTTCAGGCACCAATAAAATGTTTTCAGTGCTCTTATATTATGTAATCAAGTTATTTTATCTTCAAATCAAGTTAGCGTTACCGTTGTTATGATATACTTCGTAGATTGGATACTAGCGACACTCACGTCTCTTCTGAAATTCTCAGTTAGACTACTTTCAGGAATAATGCTGGGGAGTAAGCATTGGATCCAATCTAAACAAGAGTAACAGAAGCATGACTGTCTCTATTCCCGGCCACGCTCATCTTTACCATAACTAGGGATAGGGAAGGAAATGTTGATGTAGTACTTGCTTAACGAGAGGCCACCGACTTAGCGACACCCTCATAAGTGCTACGGAGTTGGAGGGTTGGGTAGGGTATTCGGTTAGGATTCACCTGAAGTTGGCGATACAACCAAAAGTATGTATTGTTTATTTGTTGTTTATTTAATCTCTCGTTAGCCGGCTATCGAAAGAACATATTCATTTTGTTTTGTGATCATGAATTTTAGAGTCTTGACGGAGAGCTTGGGATTAAACCCATGATTTTCTGCTCAGTAAGCAAAAACGATCCCTTCAGGGTCATCGAGCATCTCATAATCCACAGCGCTTCGCGTCAAAGTACGAATATATGGATGAACTATCTATTATTGAATAACTATTATTTACGATAATTGCATGAAAGAAATAAAATATAAACTACAAACAAAACGTGACTACTAAAATCTCAAAAAGATAGTCTCACAAATATATGTCACGCAACAGGAATCTCAAAACCATTAGACGCTATAATGATACTCTGCACATGTTAGACACAAGAAGAGGCCAAAAACCAAGCGTCCGACACACAAAACTCGCCAAATCCACTTGCAGTCACAATCAACTATTCTATGAATCGCGAGCGCTCACGAATCATAAAACCACTGACTGCGACACTATGAAAGCGAAAATGACAGGCTCTATGCGTCAAACACCCGCCCTCCAATCTCCTCCCGCATCCAACAACACAAATCTCCACTACAACATCTAACGAATTCAAAACTCCGAAAATCACTTATCTATAGCAAGTGAGTGGAAGCAACCCTGCATGCAACCATTCTTCATGATACATTAAGAAGGTGACATGTGTCACTATAGGAAATCATCATCGTTGCAAATATAAAGAAATTAAACATAACCCTTTGCTTCAGTACCGTGAACCTCCATGTCCATGGGGAGGGAGTTATTTTACCTTCAAATCAAGTTATCAAGAAATCAAGTTATTTTACATCATAATTTTGTAAATGTGGAAATACAAATCTTATTTATAAAAGGAGGGCAATTGCCCCACCAGGCTCTATAACATTCCCCAGAAAACCATTCCCCAGAATGCACCATTCCCCAGAAAAGATGATGAAATTAGTAATTTATCATTTTTTTTAGTCATTTGATATTTTATTTCATTTTTATATTACAGAACAGGCGTCCATAAATAAACAGGTCCACAAGTATCTTGCACACTGAATACAGGTATACCTCGATATAACGTAACTGTCACTATTGACTTCCACTGCCGATTTCTAGCAAAAGATCATTCAAACAAGCAAAGTAATAACGAAGACAACAAATCAAGGTTCGTGTATTTGTTATGCGTTGCTTCCACCTTCACTCAAGCGCAGCGCTTTTGTATCTGTCGCTTGGATTCTAGCAAAGTTGCCAGTCTTCTTGATTTGTTGTCTTCAGTAATAACAACATCGGACAGATGAGCTAATCTCCAATCTATTGGTAATAATAATGTATATGATTCAATTGTTTTGAGCGAGATATTGCCGATGGAAGTCAAAAGTGACAGTTACGTTATATCGAGGTATACCTGTAATACATCTTCTGAATACAAATTTTCTCGATAAATTTTACACATTTGATTTAATATATTTTTCATGATAAAACTCTCTGATTAGTTTCAGTTTACTATCGACGATACACTACGTTTACTTTTATGGAACTATGTATTTATCAATTCCAAACCATTTTTTAGCTCTTTGGAAAATGACAACCTTCAAGTTTTCGAGCACTTCGTTCATCATTTAAAAAGTCAAAGGGTCTACTATGCAATCCAATTCAACCAGTCGGAAACTGTTAAACCTTACCGAAGAATTTTTTTTTTTTTTTTGTTTATTAATTTATTTGATAAGGCTCAACCGAATTAACTTTACAGAGCCGAGGATTTTTGGTCACTATACAATACATCTTAAAACTATAGTCAAAAGGTACAACACAATAAACACTTTATCTTCCGCTATCCAAAAAGCCTCCTCTATCAGAACTGGAGCCGCTTCTAGTAGTTTCATTGTATGGCAAATTGTTGTACGCCAACGAGGGTCAGAGCGCGTCCATTGCAGCAATGGACGCAAAACGTGGTCAGCACTCACACACTCATCACGAAACGGTTGATTTCCAAAGTCGACGACGCATCGACCGAAAGAACTGCTGATGAAGAACAATGAGGAGGACCACACAATGGTTGCTGCCGAGAAAACAGACGATCGCGTAGCACACATCGAGAGTGGCCTGCTTTTGTCGACAGCCGAGTGAACACTGAACCGAAGAATTGTTCGACCTGAGTTGAAGAATTTCTCATGATGGATTAAAAAATCGGTGCATGGAACGTTGAACTACCGATTACAAATTTATAACATTAATCCACACGTTATTATCCCGAATGGGCATTACCGCATATCCCTAGCGAAGTACTATTGATTATATATTTTCCTTATATATTGAAAGAAGGGAATATTCCCTTCTTTATAGTTTATCCAGAGAATTGATTATTTCCTTTTGTTATATTTTCAAAGAAGGGAATATTCCCTTCTTTACCATATATTTAACGAATTAATTATTTCCTTTTCTTATATTTTCAAAGAAAGGAAAACCCCTTGATCCATTAAGAAGTTTTTCTATTCTTTTTATATACGCGAAAGAAGATTCCAGGAGTTACTATAATAAACAAAAATAGTCAATCTAATACATGGCATTCTTTTCTGGGGAATGGTACATTCTGGGGAATGTTATAGAACCGCCCCACCATGCCCCACCCTGTGCACGCCAGTGATCAATACAAAACTTTATTAAATATTTACTAATTTACCACATATAAAGAGCCCTCCAGGCTAAATGAAATGTAATGTAACAACAAATTTTGTTGTTACATTACAATTGATTTAGCCTGAAGGGCTCTTTATAAGTGGTTAATTGATAAATATTTAGTTTTAAGTTTCCGTTTATATTATTCCCCCTTGGAGGCATATTTAGATTGAATTGGAAAATTTGATAACCTACCTAACTAGTTTGGCGGTGTGTGGGGGGCTTCTATTAAATATCGATCATGTTGACCAGGCGTACGCTCATCTGGTCCATGACGACATTGATGACGGAGAAACTGGGAATGAATATTTTGCTTTCGAATCATCTGGAATTCAAGGCCAAATAAGGCGTGTGTATGAGAGCCGTAAGAAGCATGAATTTGATCACGATCACCACCACATTCCGAACGAATGAACCCATTCAACTGCAATAGGAAGGAAAGGTGACCATCTGACCATCAAATACATTCACCTTGCGCATGTTCTGGACGTTTTTGGACGCGGTCAGCGTAGGTATTGGTTTGGTAATTCAATGTTTGTCTGCTTCATTCTATCCTATAGGAGGCCCGCTTCGCTCACACAATCACCGGGTTGTTTTGCAGTCTTTTTCAAACAGATAAGTCTTACGACCAGAGTTGCCTACCGGCTGTGCTAGAGAGGGAGTTCGCTGTTAGACGTTCGTTGCAAATGTAGCTCGATACATTTGGCTTCCGTTGTTGATTGATTTCATGTTTAAGCTAAATTTAAGTGCAATTAGTAGTTATGTATTCTTCATCTGTGAGGACACGGTGTTCAAATAATCTGTGGTATAGTACTAGGAGGTGTTTAGCTGGAAGTTCAGAGTACGTTGATTTGATTTAATTTGTTAAATTTTCTTTAATCAAATTTTAGTAATATAAATGCTTTTATAAGCATTGCATTTTTCAACGCATGAACATGTATAACTAAAGTGTGGTATTAAATTAATGTGTTAATGGAATACTGATCATAGCGAGAATACTGAATTTTTACTATTGAACTACACGTAATTTATTCTAATCCATATGACAGATACGCGTGTTTTCTCAGCAATATGAGTACGTCATCAGCGTCAATCTGAATGGAACCAGATTAACACTGATGACGTTTGCATAGATGAAATACGCGTATCTGTCATGGATACAAAATTTAATTTGTGGACTTAACTCGTAAATACTTACTTTTTCAGCTCTTAAAACCTGGTAACATTCCTTTTTGATGTTAAGTAATAGATTCGATGATCATCTTCAATGTTTTACTGAAGATCGAAACATAATTCAATCATTATTTGAAAAGAGATGATAACCGTTGTTCACAAAAATTCTGAAGAAATTGACATTTAGTTCATTATTGAAAGTCTGGAATTGGGCGCCCCACGGAAGTTGTAAAAAGTAGACGCAATGTAATTTTGACTTTTAATGTTTATTTGTTTTCCCAAGATCTCCAAAACCCTTCAAACAAATTCCTGGACCCCGTGGTCCTCTTGGACTAGGCAATCTCTACCAGTACATTCCCGGAATAGGTACTTCCCATGCACATTCTTTATTGTGTAACCGACGGTAACTGGATCTCGGACTTCTTGCATCTTTTTCAGGAAAATATAGCTTCGATGCCCTGCATGTGTGTGGTAGAGACAAGTACGAAAAATATGGCCCCATCGTACGTGAAACCATGGTCCCTGGCCAGGACATCGTTTGGCTGTATGACCCCCAGGACATAGCTGCCGTGTTGAATGACAAAACTCCGGGAATCTACCCTTCGCGCCGAAGCCATACTGCTCTCGCCAAATATCGACGGGATCGCCCTAATGTGTACCGAACGGCGGGTTTGCTGGCCACGTAAGATTTGCATCTGGAAATTTGAAATTCAAAATTACTCGATCATGCTTTTTCACCTTCAGAAACGGTATCGAGTGGTGGAAGATACGATCGGAGCTGCAGAAGGGGTTGAGTTCACCTCAAAGCGTGAGGAATTTCCTGCCTTTGACGGACAAGGTCACTAGGGAGTTCGTGGCCAATATGAAGACGACTGACAGTGATTGCGCCCCGGATTTTATGCCTGCTATTTCGAGACTTAACTTGGAATGTATGCTGGTCAATGTGTGAGGATTTTTGAATAAGTTCTAATCGGATTATTTTGCAGTAATTTGTCTAATGGCTTTCGACGTCCGGTTGGACAGTTTCTCCGAAGAGCAGATGAAACCCAACTCCCTGTCTTCTCGACTGATGGAGTCTGCAGAAGCCACCAACCAGAGTATCCTACCGACAGATCAGGGCTTCCAACTGTGGAAATACTTCGAGACTCCGGCCTATCGGAAGCTTCGGAAAGCACAAGAATTCATGGAGAAAACCGCCGTAGAATTGGTATCGCAAAAGTTACTCTACTTTGACGAAGATCAGCAGAAGATGGCCTCCGGGCGGCATCGTTCCAGATCACTTCTGGAGGAATATCTTCGGAATCCCAACTTGGAATTGCACGACATCATCGGAATGGCAGCTGATTTGCTTCTCGCAGGTGTTCATACTAGTTCGTACACAACGGCATTCGCCCTCTACCACCTGTGTCTCAATCCGGACGCTCAGGATAAGCTGTACCAGGAAGCATGCAAGATCCTACCCGATCCGTGGGAGTGCCAAATCGATGCTGCTGCTCTGAACTGTACGCAATCTTCTTCAACCGATGTTCACCATGGAAACTGAGTGCTTCCTTCTATTGCAGCAGAAGCAACCTACTGCCGGGCGGTGCTGAAGGAATCCCTCCGCCTGAATCCCATTTCCATTGGCGTAGGACGAATCCTGAACAATGATGCCGTACTGGGCGGCTACCACGTTCCCAAGGGGACCGTCATAGTCACCCAGAATCTGATCTCCTGTCGGCAGGAAAAGTACTTCAAGAACGCCAGCAAATTCATTCCGGAGCGATGGATGCGAGACACCAAAGAGAATGTCAATCCCCATCTGGTGCTTCCGTTCGGCCACGGGATGCGTTCGTGCATTGCCCGGAGGATGGCTGAGCAGAATATGCTGGTGCTGTTGTTGAGAGTAAGTAGAAGGATAGGATGATGTTGGAACGCCAATGTGAGGAGGGAATTTAACTATTCATTGAATATTTCAGTTGATTCGATCGTATGAGATTGACTGGGTGGGGCGCGTTCCCATGGGAATCGAAACCAAGCTCATCAACCAGCCGGATCAACCGATCAACATTTCGTTTAGGTCGAGACAATTGTGATTGCATTTTTGTTTTTTGGATTTATACGATGTGCAATGGTACTAATAAATTTATGTAACTGTTATAGCAGAAAGTTGGTTTATATATTTTGTAGATAGATTTAGTAAAAGATCGTTTTTATGTAAATGGTTGATCGTTGCATGATAGGAAATCTCCATACAATAAGGAGGTGGCCAAACATATTTTCTTGCTTATTCTGCATAATTTGATTAGAATGTATTAGAATGTGCCTAAGTTAATCATATAACATCATTTTGAGATCCTGAAGTCTTAAAGGTTCTCCAAAATGTCCTGGAGTTAAGATCTTGATGTTTTATAGACTCAACGTCTAGACTTACATACTACCGTACTCTAACGGCACTATCAATTCTGTCCTCTTTACAACTTTGTCATGCCAAATTGATCTACAGAAAATCATGGCGGCTGTTTTCAGTTTGGAGATTTGCAAGGAGTCTGAAAATTTATTGTCTATTTTTGGCAGTGTTGTCAAACATGTTCTTTTTGCAAAAGTAATACGAAACGAATTTTAAAAATTATTAATTCGATTTCTCAGTGGAATCGTGTTCTCGTGTTTTCAGTCTTACTCTTATTTCATTCTCGCATCTACTTACATCGCGCATTATCTTTTCGCAGGAAAGCTTCAGAATCGTCATAAATCCTCTTTATATCTACTCAGCATACGCGCAGCTAGTTACAGCAAACCACAATTTTTAGTCGCTATTGAAAATTTAGTCGATTGCTGAATTTATGTATGGGCCCAAATTAGGAGCATTTAGGCTGACATTACATCCATTTCCCCTACTTCAATACCTACTTGATCAATGCAAATTTGTTGAACGGGTTCAATCATCTCAGTAACGAATCCCGATCATAAAGGCATAGCGAAATTATAACAACTGAAGTTATTTATTTAACAAAAAAAAAATGTAACAGAACGTGTGGCTGGTTAGTTGTTAAAATAACAAAAATCATAACAAAAATTTGTCTAGTGGTAACAAAATTATAACAGACTTTGATATGATTATATCAAAATTATTACAAAATTAGATATAATCTATCGCATTCAAAAATATACATACATAACAACCGTTGTTATAAATTAGATATAAAATTTGCCATATTTCTGTCAATGGTTATGCCATTAATTTTTCACATTTTTTGAATCTAAGTCTAATAATTAATTGGAATTCATCAACTGTAGGTCATTTTTAATAATTAAGAGTCATTTGTGAATTTGCCAAGTGAATCCTGGCTTCTTTTTCCATAATATGCCAGAATTCACTTCATAATGTGTGGTGCTTCATCGGTCAAAGAAAATTGGTTGTTTTAGTAATTCTGAATGAATGAATGAAAAATTAAGGCTACCTCGCGCATATTTCACTTTTCCGGCTCAAGTGGAACGCGTTTAATTGTGTTATGTGGCGTTTGAGCCCGATGCTTGGTTACCGTCGTTCGTGGTCTTCCACATGGATTGTTGGAGGATCTTCCATCAAATCATGAGATTCCTATGGTGATGAAATTTCATTCATTATCTGGTTCAGAAGCAGTAGGCAGCCAATCTATTTCGGATCCGTTTTTCGATGACGAATCAGAAAAATCGGAAGATTTTAAACAAGCAGAATTCTTCGAAGGATACGATGAACGATATTCCGGATCGGTATTTATTATCTTATTTATCCAAGGTAGACAAGACTGAGAACGTTCTATCTTTTCTCAGGAGCCTTCGAGTTACGATCAATCGGCAAAATTTCATGACAACATCAAAGACATAATATTTCTGGCACTGGCGTCTTCTTGTTCAATAATGGCAGCACACCAACAACCTATTTTATTTTAAGATACGAAACAGCAGATCATATAATCTTTTTTGAAATACTCAAAAAAGATAGCTGAATACAAGACACCGGTTATTACTGAAGAAATTCGCGATATAAGAAGTTTATGATTTAAACAATCTTTGACAATCATCTGAAAATCTTATCATTTCTTACTATTTATACACAGATGCCTCCAATGATCGTCACATAGAAACAGAAAATAGTGAATAAACTTATATTTTGGAATCATTAATACATATTTTATGTATTGATAGTAATTATAACTGACATTGTTATAATTCTGATATGATGAGAAACTTCGCACAACCCACTTTTCACTAATATATCAAAATATAACACACGTTGATATAAATATCAACCATTGATATAATTGTGTTATAATTTTGTTATGCCCTTCTGATCGGGATGAGGCGAGAACACTACAACTATCACTTCTCTAATAAAAATTACCTTAAAAGAGAGCTTAACCACTTGTTCGGAGTATCATCCAAACCATTTGTGGGATAGTTTACCCATCCGGAATACAGTTCGTTAATGGTATTTGTTTATTAGGGTTTTTAACCGGTGGTTTCAAATATTTACTTGTCGGTTCCTCCTCCAATATCCTTACCCTAACTAACTACAGACAAACAGACATAAAACTGGAAATTTGTTCATCGAACACAATAAATTTAAATGTTTTAGTTGGTAATATCGCCAACTGAGGCGCACATAGTCAATAACCCTTGAGAACCCATAACGGCGGATTCAAATGTGCAGCGATCCCATCTGTCAAAACCATACACGGATAGAAATCTCCTTATGCCTTTTGGCAAATTTCTATTACTGATTATTCATAAAATGTACACTCAAAAAATATTGAAATCTAAATAGTATAAAAGTTACGCTAAATAGCAACTCTCCGTACCGACGCAAAGGTCGATATAAAGGGAGAGAATGCAAATTTAGTATAAAAATGGTTTATGCGTGCCATAGTATAAAATCGAAATATACTCACAATGCATAGATACGGTTTATTCAAGAGAATGTATTTTTCGCTTTTTTATTTCATTTATGGTAAATATTATTGTTTTCAAAAGAAAATAAAAATTGTCTCAGGAAGCTTTTTTCATTAGTTTATTTTTTATTAATAATATTTAAAAAAAACTTACAATTTCGATGGTGCCCAACAGATTACAGGTGCAGTAGAAATCCGCTGGGAAAAAGCCCTTCACCAGCATGAAGCTCCGAAGGGAATCCAGATGTTTTTATTCCTGTCATTTTAGTAAACACTGATCGAATTCTACTCCGTTATTCGGACTTAGTATAATTTTGACGAAAATTTTAATCGAACCAATGTATAAATTTTGAAAAAAAATCATAAAATGCATAAAATTTAATCTATATTCGTTTTGTAATATTTTTGAGTGTATAAGTCAACTAATAAGCAGACGCCTTGCAAAAAGTTAATGAAGCTCATGTGCCAAATGAAATGTATAAGCGGTCACACATACCTTTTATGCATTCTTATAGGACCTATGTGGTTTGTCTTATGGAATGTATAAGCATAGAGGTAACTCTAAGACCAGAAGGTCCCGAAGAAACGAGCTCAACTTTTGGCTCAGCTCTGGTACTATCTTCGGTCCCAAGCTAATCGATTCACCCCTCGAAAAATACGAAAATCCACTAACCCCTCATTTTATCTGTCAAACTTTCATATAGCGAATCAAAACAAACATAGTGTAGTACTGGAATTTATACTAGAATGGGCTACGTTAGTCGATTTGCTTGGGACCAATAGGCTAGTCAAGTACTGAGCCAATTTAAAATCGTTAGTTTCGTATTGATTGTTGGTATAAGGCTGATCTTTTGGCAAAAATGTATAAGTGAAAAACATGAATAAAATAATTGATTTTCGTTTCGTGTAGAAATGTTTTATCTAGATAAAAATAATATGTCCGAAATAGATTGGTCACGAACCAACTCATACATTTTGTACGCGTGTTTGTGACTAGGATTAGTATTTTCCGCGAACACGGCGGCAGATGTCAGTTTTGTGCTTTGATCAGAAATTTCTCTGTAATTTGTATGATGATTCATGTCGGTTTGTCGGTGGTTTTATTTGGAAAAATATTCAATGTGTTATGTCTGTTTGTCTGTGCTAAAACCAACCCCGTAGCACAGACAAACAGACATAACAAATTGAATAATTCTCACTGTAAATAATTCTCACTACGATACTATTAAATTGTCCGTTAAATGCTTGTTCGATGAACAACTTGCGAGTGTTATGTCTGTTTGTCTGTGCCCGTAGCATACTGGACAGTCTTACTGGTGAGTCAGTGGTGACCAAATTCTCAGCTGTCGTTAGAAATGCGCAGAGCTGAGTGCTTATTTTAAAGGTATTCACTAGTGCGGCACCAACATAACAAAAAACAGTTCCGCCCATTTGAAATATAGGTGTCGTATTAGTGGTTTTTCACGGGTGGTTCATCAAGGCTGTCCACGAGACAGTTGCGATCAGCTGACTTTTTTGTTTACCAAGGACTTTTGATAGATCAGAGTAGAACCACAGAGAACAGACGTCCAACTTTGGACAGAAACTTGTGTAAAGATAGAACTTCGTTGTTACGTGGCAGCGTTGCCAGATTGTTTTAAAGCTTATCGGTATCAAAGGTATTAAAATATCGGTACTTATCGGTATTAACTATTATTTAATTTTATATTTTTGCCGTTTTTGAAAGCGAGAATTCTAACGATTGTTACGACTGGGATTTGAGGGGAATTGCTTTGTTTGACGGCTTTCTCTGTCGTAAAACACTCTTTTATTTTTTAATTTAAATTTTAAAATTATCGTTGTCCTCAAGTGGTGATCAAAATTGTGACCAAGTAGTGTTTTTTTTTAATTAAAATACACTTAGATATTAGCGGTAAAAATATACCGAAAATCTGTATTATTATTCATTTACCGATTATCATTAAAAAACGTCACTGAGTGTGTATCGTTAAATGAAACCAATTATATGGAAAATCAGCCACAACAACGACTAAACTATTGACAATAACGACAAACAATATTTTCCCTTGAAAAAAGCCAGAACCTATGACCGAAATGTCGGGCAGATTACATGGTAGTCGTTGCAGTGTTTTAAGACTGAGAAAGCCGTTATTCAAAGCATAATTTTAGCGTTTAAACTAT